GGATGAGGGTATCAGTGGAGGGTTCGGCTAAGCGGATGAGGGTTTGAAGTACAGTTTCTATTGTCATGTAACCAGTTGTGGCAGTTTGTGTGCCAGAAGTTCCGCAAGGAGTCTTGCAAGTGCAGTTGCATGCACTGGTGCCATCAATTCTGCTTAGTTGGTGAAATTCCTGGATTGATATTCTGTTCATGCCCCATTTCTGTCTCAATAATTTTCTGTTCATCTTCTCTCCCCAACCTTAATGGGCAATGGTGATTTCTGCAAGAAGTACAGGCAACTGCATTTCCTCGCTTGCAAACCTAAACAAATTTGTCTATTTCTGTTGTCCTCTGAGTGAATGAAAATTTCATCAACAGTTCAAATCCTGACCTGCCCAGGCCACATTTTCCCACATTATGCATATCTCTCTCCAGTACACTGTGCATATATACTTCCTTTGTTCTCACTCCTTCCTTTTTTTTCACTCTACCTTCCTCCATTCTTCTTTTTTCATTCTTAGAACTGGTCACCAAATAGTATTCAAAAGTAATTTCAGCTAATTTTTAGCCTTTGGCATTTCCTTCTGTCTCCAACTTTTTTGATTCTTGAGATCACAGTCCTTTAGTGAAAAACTATCTCAGACCAGGAATCAAGTTCTAATTTTTAATTTGAATGCATTGCACTCAATAAACATAAATGTGTTTTTACATTGTCAACAGAATTAGTCTGGCAAAAAGTTATTTTGGCTGCAGTTCCAACCATCTATTAAACATGTGGAGTTGCCTGGAGCAGTCTGACACAATCTCAGTTTTAATATAATTAATAACGTCCATGCCAGGCACATTTGAAATACTGCAATTAGTTTCTTGGAAATGTTGCTTATGGGTTTAAGAATAAGCAGCATTGTGACCTTGATGGAGGGGTGTAGCTGTGGGAAGATGATAGTTTTACCCAGAAAGATACAGAATTACAGGCTATAGTTAAAAGCTAAGGAAAGCAGAAAGCTAGCTTCCATTGGGAATTGCAGAGACAAGGTGGTGGCAAATTTCTTAGCTAAAAGGGGGGAAATATCTAAGCAGCACAGATCTTTCTGAATTGAACTTTTGGGCATAAGTCAAAGTGCCATGATATCTCTATATTCTAGAAGCAACTACTAATCAAATTATGTCCATTCAAGTTTGGAGAAAAGTATAAATGATTTTACTCCAGAAAAATGCTCCATCATTTGGCAGGTTATTTTTGGTGCCTTTGTAACTCTGTTTGAAATGGGAAGTTTCCATTCCTGCCAAATTGCATTTCTTGCTGTCTCTTTCTGGCCTGATTCTTGTTATCTGCCCAGTAATATAAACTACATATCTCGAAATCCACGTACCACAGTGCTCCAGTTAAGAAAAGATGATGATTCTCAACCTTGAATAATTGATGATTATTTGTGACCAACCATGTCCAATTCTGCCCAAATCCAAACACTCAAGAAGACTGCTTGCACATTTTTCAAGATGGCAGCCTCCAATATTGCTCATAACTTAGCCATTCTAGATGCTGCCTCCTCTGGAGTGCAACTGAAGCATGAATCTATTTTGGATAATATCAAATCACGTCAATTGATATTAAATTCCCTGGTAGGATTAGGACACTGCATGAATAAAGGATATTGTATTTTATATTCTGAATTTCAAATGGAAAAATATATTCAAAGTGGCTTGACAGGAATAATATGTCTTGCTTTTATTGGTGTTACATGTTATTCAACTTGTATTTCTTGTATGGTTGATCCTGTTTTCCCTCTGTGGCATTGTGATATTGAACAAAATTGACAGATTGAGAACATTTCTTTCTCCAGGAAGGTGTAATCTTGCGTACTTCTCTGTGACTAGGTTGAATGGAGAGCAATGAGAAATAGTAGGTGGGGGTGGAGGTTAGCTTCAAAGTAGCTGAACCTTACTGACCAAGGTTGCCGAATCACACTCGTAATGGAAGAAAGCTTCTTTCTTAAACAATTGTGCAAGTGTTTTTATTTGTAATAAACAACTTTGGGTGCTATGCGGAAAAGAAGCGTTTTCTTTTGCATTAGGTATTTCCTTAGTGAACCAGGCCCTTGTGCAATTCCTGGTTTGACCTGATTCAGTTCATGTCTGTTAATATAGTGTACAAAACCAGCTATTTTTTTCTCTTCAAGATCCACTGTTTCATTTGTAATTCATTGCCCAACAGGGTGGTTGTGGGATCTGGGCCCATATTACTGTGAATGTTGCTTTGTAACTGCCTCAGGATAGATGCATAATTACCCCAGGGCAATGCTGAAAATACTTAGCCTCCAAGTACCCCTGGCCACGTTCTAGTGCACTGTCGACTGTAGGGTAGTTCATGTTAGCAAGGGCTTTTGCAAGTAATTCTATACACAGTTTTGGCAAATCAACATGTCTGTGTCTACTATTTGGATTATTGTCCAGTTCTAACCTACAGTTTTGGAGGATATACTTATCTGCTCAGTCATGGTGATGCTGCAATAAAAGTAATCTTTATGTTAACTGTGTGTTTCTACAACAATGCTTTGCAAGCATGAGTGTCAAAGCTGACTTTAAATACTTGGCTGTTGCAGAACCCACTGGAGAACGCTCCCCACGTCGGAGAAGTATTTCAGGCCCAGGATCGTCTGAGAAGGCAAACGGAATGGAGGATTCCACATCCCCATTCAAGGTAGCATATTCTCTAATTAATAAAATTAAATTTTTACTTCCAAATCTATTATTTTTCTTCATCATATACACGACATTGCATGTCTAGATTTTAATTGGCATCTCGTAATTGTATTCTTCATAAGACTTTTTTTGAGAGTTGGGTAATTTTACATTGGAACACCTGTCAGCATTCAGCCCCTCAAGCCTGTTCTACCATTAACTTAGATCATGGCTGATCTGTGACCTAACTCCATGTATCTGCCTTTGGCCCATATTGCTTAATACCTTTACTTAACGAAAATGTATCTACAGGCCTATTCATGCATTTTAAAGATTATTGCGGCTGAAGCTCAAGTCTGTTTGGCTGTTTGGTCACCCGCTGTATTAACTTCATCTAGAAAGTACCCTGATCTATCCTCTTTCATTCCAAAATGGCAACTTCGCTCCACCATAGTTTTGCCTTTTGACCCTCGCCTATCAACTATGTTGCAATAACACCAGCAACAACCGACCACATGCAAACCTGTTCTTACTTTCATTCAATGTCAATAACATTTCTGCTGTTTTCCTTTGCAAAAGAAAAACAAACTACACTTTTGGCTGACCTGAAGACCGAGTGAATGGGTCCTTTATTGGCCAACTTATGAAATTGTTGACTAATTGTAAACCTACAAAGGGGGAAAGTGATATGGATTGTGTCCTCAGAAATTACTTTGGAAATACAGTTTTCAAAATGTACCATTAATCAGTCGTGAAATTAACATTAAATGATTCAAATGATGTATGGCCATACATGGGTTCACTTCTAACCTTACATGTGTGGAGCTTTCTATCTTTGTTTCTTGGAAAAGCATAACGTGGAACTGACAAGTTAGTGAAACTATAATCAGATGGTTACTCAGTAACTCATTGTGAAATGAAGCCCTGAAATTGTATAACACAAAAATATAACTTCAATGTCCATTGTCTGCTGAGACATGTTACAGTTGTGCTAAATTTTAATGCAAGACAGGAGTTGGTTAACAGTTATTTTATTGTCCTTGAGAACAACACCATCCTTTCAAATGTATGCGTTTAAGCGAAGACACTGCCAATTTTTCAAGATTTCTTGCTTGAGTTTTGATAAATATTTTGCTGGTGACTGAACTTCTGAAAAACTAGCATCCTCATCTAATAACCAGTGTTTTAAAAGGCATTGAATAAAATAGATTTTTGATTTTTGTCTTAGAAATCACACACTTGGCATTCAGTTGGAGTAGAGCTCAGCTTTGCAAAACTGGCAACTTCGTGCGGCTTAACACCTGTATTGCCTTCTGAAAGCAGTCATAGAGGTATATAGCACAGGAACAGGTGCTTTGGCCTAACTCACCCATGTCAACCAGGTTTCCTAAACTGAACTAGCCCCATTTGCCTGCATTTTGCCCACATCGCTCTAAACCTTCCCTAGCCATTTACCAGTCCAAATGTCTTTTAAATGTTGTAATTGTACTTGCCTCTACCACTTCCTCTAGCAGCTCATTCCATATACACACCACACCTCTGTGTGGAAAAAGTTGTCCTTCAGGTCCCTTTTAAATCCTTCCCCTCTCACCTTAAACCTATGCCATGTAGTTTTGGACTCCCCTATCCTGGGGGAAAATGCCTTGGCTATTCATCTTATCTATGCTCCTCAGAATTTTATAAACCTCTAAAAGGCCATTCCTCAAGCTCCTACACTCCAGGGAAAAATAGTCCAGCCTATCTAGCCTCCCCTTATAACTCAAACTTTCCAATCTCGCTAACATCTTTGTAAATCGTTTTTGCATTCTTTCCAGTTGAATAAAATCCTTTCAAAGCAGGGCGATCAGAATTGTACACAGTACTCCAAACGTGGCCTTACCGATATCTTGTACAGCTGTAACATGACGCCCCGACTCTTGTACTCAATGCTCTGACTGGTGAAGGCAAGTGTGCCAAACGCCGCCTTCATCACCCTGTCTACTTGTGATGCCACTTTCAAGGAACTATATACCTGCACCCCTAGGTGTCTCTGTTTGGCGTCACTTCCCAGGGTCCTACTATTAACTGGTTTGCCTTACCAAAATGCAACACCTCACATTTATCTAAACTCCATCTGCCATTCCTTTGCCCAGTAAGCCAGTTGATCAAGATCCTGTTGTACTCTTAGATAACCTTCCTCTCTGTCCACTATACCACCAATTTTGGAGTCATTTGCAAACTTACTAATCATGCCTCCTCATCCATTCTCATTCATATCATTTGTATAAATGACGAACAACAGTGGATCCAGCAACTGTCTTTGCAGCACATTGCTGGTCACAGTCCTCCAGTCTGAAAAACAACCTTCTACGACTGCCATCCATCTCCTACCGTCAAATCAAGAGCTGTCCCATGTGACTTACCTTACTAACCAGTCTACAATGCAGAACTTATTGAAGGCCTTACTAAAGTCCATGTAGACAACATCTACTGCACTGCCCTCATCTATCTTCTTGGTTGCCTCTTTAAAAAAAAACTCGATCATATTTGTGAGGCACTATTTCCCACGCACTAGAGTCAGTAGAAGCTTTTATTACCTTCCAAAAGAATGAATGGACATGGCACAAGAATGCTTTACTATCCTCTGCCAAGGTCACAAAACTGTGGAAGTCCTTCCCAAATCCGCCCCCCCCCCCCCACCCCCACCCCCACCCCCACCCTTTCATCCAAGATGGTCTTCAGACCCCACCCCTGATCAAACTAGTCATGGAATTCCCTCTTTGGAACTGTGGTGAAAGCAAAAAAAAAGGATATTTTTTCAGTTTGCTCTTGAAGACCTATGCGTTTTTTGAAAGGGAGCTTGGAATTTGACTATTTGGACGCAGCTTTCGAAGAGTTCTCTATTCCTTTCTCCCACATCTTATCTGCTATCTCCTTAAATGCACTCTTCATTTTGACTGTGATGAGCAAGTGACAGAGAGTTAATTGCTCTCGTAAAGAGCCAGTACAGGCAGATCAGGACAAATGGCCTGCTTTTGTGTTGTAACCTTGAGTCAAATGAGCTTAAGTATGAACAGGTAGGACCCAATAAATACTGATTAATTATTTTCCCATTGGGGCTGCCAAACCTGAGTCCACATTTATTTTCAGGATCCACATGAGCACTTCAGGTTCAACGATTTTACCTTTGAGTTTTGCATGCACATAATCCCACTCAGTGAGATGGAAGATTGATGTCAGCACTTTTCAAAGCAGAATCATCATAAATCATTTTCTTGCGCAGAAGAAGAGTATGCTAAGGAAATTTGGGAGGACACTCCTAAAATGACTCTGTAAACTTCCAGTGTTTAGCATTGTTTAGCTTATGATGCAGCACTGAGAGGTGGAGAGGTCTAAAAATAGGAATGCCAATGACTAGTTGAATGGTTAACTTGCCATTCTGATTTTCTGCTATTCACCTTAGAAGTTAGGATGTCTGCCAGGCTCACTCCTAGCACTGCAAGTGACCATTCTTTATCTGGTAACCCTGAACAAAGAGAGTTGTGACATTCAGTGAAGAGTCCATCACAGCAGTGCCTGATATTACTTAATACCAGAACTGTGGCTATTTGATTCTTTTCATTGTTAAGGTCTACCAAGTTCTATGGTGGCTGAGATTCCCCTTGGCTGAGATTTGCTAATGTAGCTCAAACCCAGTTAACCCAGACTTCTAATCTGACAAGTTCTATGTTTGGAAGATAAGTTGTAGAGCTACTTTGTGAAACATTGTTTTTGAACAGTGCAATGTGCCTCCTCACACTAGATACATCTTGACTGAAGAATAGTTTAAAATAAGTTCTTAATTACTTCAGATACCTGCATTTTTCCTAACCGGGACAGCAAGCTTTCTGGCAATGCAGCAAGCATTTCTGTGTGTATGCCCACCTGCATTTTCCAGCAGGGAACCAATCAAATCCCCCATCTGAGTCCCCTGCAGCAGAACCTAACAACAAACTTGTCCTTGGGGCAGCTGGCTTTCATAGTATCCTTTCCTCTTGCTCGGCTGCATCCCTCTATGGTGCCCAGGGATTCACCAGATCCTAATGCTGCCTCTATACTACCTTGTATAAGTATCTGATCCAATGTGTTATTTTGCTACCTATCCATTTACCGAAGCAGGAACCAATCTGTCTGCCTCCACTGTTTATTTACAACTTATAGTTAATACAAGCTCCAGTCTGCTCATCACTACTCCCCCTCCTACTGGGAAAAACAAAAATATTTTCTAATCAACCTGTTCAGAGATGTTATGAAACGCCTCTGGAGCAGGTGGGACTTGAACCCGGGCCTTCTGGCTCAGGACAGGGATACTATCACTGCTCCAGAAAAGCATCAAAGCATGTCCAGTTATTTTAATCAACCTGTTCAGACTTATTATGACACACATCTGGGGGAGGTGGGACTTGAACCTGGGCTTCCTGGCTCGGAGATAGGGATATGACCACTGTGTCACATGACCCATTGGAAAGCCAGACAGGTTTTAAAATATCCGTAAGTATTAGTACACACAAGTAGACAGCTTTTTCTCACCATTAAATCAACCATGGTACTTTCCATAATATTTGCTAATCAACCTATTCAGAGATGTTATGACACAGAGCTAGAGCAGGTGGGACTTGAACCCAGGCCTTCGGGCTTAATGGTAGGGAACTGCATTGCATGATGAAAACCCTAGCTCTTTTTTCTTTTTTATTCTATATCCAGACACAACTGTTGGACATAACTGAATGATTCTTTTTTCCTTCCATCACCAAATCACCCATAGTATTTTTCATCTATTAACCACCACCAGTAAATCACCCATGTTTTCCAGTTGATGTATTTACATGCAAAGTCTGTTAAGGGAAATGCAGACCATCAAAAGTGAGGGGGTAGGGGTGCTAAATCAAAATCTGGTTGGAAGGAAGAGTCCTACATCTTTTTTAATATCCAGAAGTGGTCTCAGACACAACTGAACATTTTTTCCTCCTTCCTCACCAAATCTCCCATGGTATTTTTCAT